AACCTTTGTACACTAAACTGCAGCCCGATTCAAGACCTTCAATTTGTATAATAGAGGTTTGACTTCCCCCTTTATCTTCTGCTCAGTTAATGAGAATAATTCAGTTTATTTTCCTGGATTGGGGTAATCTATGTCAGTGTTTTGGGGGGTGGGAGGGGAGGGCAGGAAGAGAAGATCAGCTGTTTTTAATACTGGTGTACTCCCATGGTCAGGGCTTTCTAATTATAGCCTGGGTAAAATATCAAATTTCAAAGTCCTTCACACAAGGAAGGTTCTCTGTTTTCAGTGGTGTTAGATACGCATCCATCCCATAAACATATGCATCATATGCATTTTTGGTTTTGATTAGTATTGGGTAACTGTATTAGCTGATTGCTCTGCTGTTGTTTGATAATATCTTACTGGGAGCAGTGAAGAAATTGTCACATAGGAATTGTCATATAGAAGTATATCTTGTAGATGGGTGTTCTTAAAGCACTAGTTTCACTTTGCAGCTAAAGTTGTTCAGGGTTACAGTGAACCTTCTCTGTCTCTTGAACATTATGACTGACTGTTGGACAACAGATAAGGATTTTAAGTAGCTGAATGATTGTGTTGTGTATCTGGCCTGAGAAATGGCTTCAGAGATTTTCTTCTAGTTATGATGAATATAGTTGGCACTAGTGATTTAAAAAACATAGCACAGCAAAACATAAATGAGTAGGAGGCATTCATCAATTTTATGTTGTTGGAGGGTTTCTTTCTTCTCCCTCTTCTTCAGAAGAAAGTCTGCTGTGCTGTCTCCCATTTAAACAAAATTTCTGTGATTAGGTTTTTAGTAAGACCAAAATTGCTTCTGTTACATTATTTTCTGTGCCAGATATGCAGTAAGGAAATAGTTCAGAAGTGTAACACAAGACAGTAAGAAAGCCATATGAAATGCTCTTCATTTTCTATTCCATCTGTTTCTATTATGTGGTAGAAATTCTGTAGTGTGTTTTTAAAATACATTTTTTTCCCGTTCTGTTATTTATGTGGTTTGGGAAGTATTGGATCAGGTATTAAAATGTTATGCCTATTAGATAAGTCCTGTAAGGAGCTTTGTGGTAGGCAGGAAAAAAAAAGTTCCGTCAAATTTTGCTTTTCAATTATCCTAATATGATCTTAGAATCATAGAATCATTAAGGTTGGAAGAGACCTCCAAGATCATCGAGTCCAGCCGTCAAATCTTGATGCTGTTCAAAAGAAAGCCAGTAGCAACTAGCTATATTTTTTTTCCTGTCTCTTTAAGTTTTCATTAATGAGAGCAGTCTTAAGCATTGAAAGACTCTAGAGACACACAAGCCATGTTTAAGAGTGTTTGTAATCTTCAAATAAATACTAGCTCAATGAAGTGAAAACGTGAGTAATGCTGAGAAGAGAGCACTTTTGGTTCTGAGCTAGGCATTTACTTACCCCTGACTGTATGGAAGGGAAAAATCTGCTGCTTGGATAAAGTAGTCTTTGGCAGGATTTGGCCAGATGGAGCTTATGTCTGTGACTACAGAAGTAGTAATGTCTTTTAAGTTCCATGGTGCTTTCTGGATTCTCCCTTATTTTCAGGGAAGTTTACGAATTTCATGCTTTTTGTGTTGTGAGGAGATGTTTCAGAATGCAGGCTGGCTCTCTTTCCAGCTGAGCCTGCAGTCAAGGCAGACTGAAGCAATATGCTCCAAGAAGAAGTGTGAATTTTCTCATATGTTTCAGTGAGCATTAATGGGAAGACTAATTAGGACAACTTGAAGCCAAAATTGCTGTGTTTCACTTTGAGACAAATTATTAGAGGCATCCATCAGCTGTAGTTGGATATACATGGCATTCCAAGTTTAAATCTGCTTGAACAGTTTAGAATCAGAAGTGAATAAAAGGAGTTTAGATCTAACTCGGGACTTAAATTTAGAGTAGAACAAAGAAAAATAAAAATCTAGCATATATGAATAACTCTGTACCCTAATAAAAACAGGTGAAGGAGATCATATACTTCTAATTATTATTGTTTTTAATTCTAGCTTGAAGACCATGTGTAGGTGACATTAAGTCAGTATTTCAGACTGAAAATGCTATATTAAATACTACTATAATTTTTTTTATATGGAAACTTATTTAACTTTTACAGATATATACATACAGATAGGGTTTCTTCTCTTACCTTTCTCTTGCAGTTGTGACATTTCTACTCATAGAAATCTGCATAGCCTAAAACATAGGTATCTGCAGTCAGTTCTTTTTGAATCCTGATACACTCTATTTTCTTTGGATATAAAAAAGCCTGTGGCTGCTTCCTTCACAGGACTGACTTTGTGCTGTGTCAGATTCAGCTCCTGGGTAAGGAACAGTACAAAAGTTAGTTTTCTTGAGTGTTACAGAGGCAGCAGCCTCTGGCTAAGGAGTACCTGTACAGGAAGAGGTGCATTTCTTTCTGCTGTGTGTCTTCCTCCCTATTCTCCTGAGGAAAGCAGGAGTGTCTCTCTGCTCTTCTGCTGAATGCTCCCAGAAAGCAGGACTTCTAACCCTGTGCTTTCCATCTCATAATACATATGTTTGAGACTCCAGCTCCATCATGTCATATACCTCTTTCACCTTTTTGTTACTGCTTTGGTGTCCTCAGCTGGAGATGACCGAGTACCTTTATTTCTATTGCAGAGCAGGGCTGGAAGCTGGCAGCCCATGCTATGCAGAGTAGCAAGATGTACCTGGTTTGTACTGGCTATCTATGCAAGCATCTACTGTGCTCTGAGAGAAGACAGGAAGGCAGAGCTGAGAGAAGCTGAGACTGCACCTGGCACAGGCAGATTGGTTACATCTGGTGGGCATATCACAATTTTGGGAACTTGTGGTGTTGCATATCACTGTCTCCACTGCTGCAATAGCTGTAGGCACAAACGTTTTGGTCAGAAGACTGTGATTCCTTCCACTTGAAATGGGTTTTGTGGCCTCCTGTCTTCCCCTTTAACATGTCTCACCTCTTGAGCAATATCAAGACAGAGGAAAAAGCCAAGGAGAATGTTTCTCTCTGCAGTATAGAGTTTTTAAGGAGGAAGTGCAGGGAGGAGGGAAGGTCTTTCATCTTGCATGTAAAAAATGGTACCTCACATTTATTAGCAACATGATCCATCAGGTAGTAAGCTGCTAGTATTCTTCTCTCCATTCTACTTTCTCCAATGTGAGCATCCTGTGTGTATTTTATGGCAGTCATCAGCATGCTATGAATAACTCTTAAACTGTTGGTCCATTTCAACCAGTTCTGACAGTTTTGTCAAGTCTTAAAGATAGCTGTGTTCTGTAGCTGCTGTGAAAGTAGGCGGCTGGGTAGAGGCAAGAGACAATGTGTGAGCTTATGCCTTGAAACGGGCAGGGAACATGGTGGGGCAGTGACCCATTAGGAGGCAGGAAGGCTTCAGCAAGAATTTCCACCTTCTTAGGAGCCCTGGTGCCTTTAGGAGCCAGAAGAGAAGTATGTAATAAACGGGTATCAATCAAGGAACTATTTAGTATTTTGTGGGCTATAATCCATTTTTCTCATGAGGAGTGTGACTGTAGGGCTATATTTATTTTGTGTTGTGCTGCAAGTGCAAGGAGTAAGGAAGTCTGGTCCCGAATGAGGAGGAGTATGCAAGTTGGGGGTAAGGGTATCTTCATTTGGATATGTAGAAAAAGAAGTGCTGACACTTTTAAAAGTTGTTGCACCATTGGAAGCTCTCATTTTTTCCTATCTGTGGCATGGTATATTGAGTCAAATACATCCTTTGAAAGTGTGCCAAATTAATAATGTGTTCTGGCCTTCACCAAATCATATTAACCTAGTGTAGCCATCAAACTGGGTATGTCAGTTGTACTTCTAGAGCAACTGATTGATTTTTTTTTTCCTTTTCTTTTTAATTGTCCCCTTATGAACTCTTTTACCAGCTGACAAATCCCAAAGAAGTAAGTTCTCTCTAGGTTAGGATGAGAGAAATAAGAGCGTATCTGTCTTGCTGTCTTGGCAAAAAGGACCCCGAAAGAATCTTTTAATTAGAGCAATTTCATTCTGTTTATCTGCCATGAGCCTAATGAGCAATATGAGCTTGCTAAGGTGCAGCCATGTGACTTGGTGGGAGCTGATCCTCTAATGAGAGGATTAGGTGTTTATTTCTGGTTGTCTACAGCCTGTGATGCTAAGCACATGTCGCTGTGCGTGTGAGGGGTCTCAGCCAGTCCCCAGTAACTTCTCGTTTACCTCCCTCATCTTGCTCTTCCGTCCACTCTTGAATATCACCTCACTAATTTCTCTGTTCTTGATATTTCAGTTTGGGATAGATTTCATAAATTACGCTACACACAGTTTCTGTGTGGTATTGTATTTGGGTCTGTAAATAACACACAACCTAAATGGAACATAAAATTTTTCAGACTCTTGTTTTTTAGCAAATCACCTGGGGAAGCGTAGTTTGAAATCAGTGAGATTCAAAAGGAATGAATAGTTCTGTCCAAGAGGCCATCATTAAACTGGCTCATCTCCAGCACTGCCATTTTACAAAGTGCATTTAGTTTTGCCTTTAAAAAGTGAGAAGAGGGGTGATGGAAGAGGAACCAGTCCTGGGGCTCCTGAATTGTGATACCTCTACCATTTGTGATACAGAAGCTACTTAAAATTATGTGGGGTGGGGGAGAAATCCAGCCTGCTACCTTGAAGCTGAGGAATGAACACTGCCTTCTGCCCACAACCTGAGAATTGTGTCTGGAGCTGCTGTTGCCACCGCTCGGTACAGTTCTCTCTTTGTAATGATGGCACCTGAGCAAAATAAATTTGAAAGTCTCCCACTTTAATAGGTTTCCATTCTCATAATCTTGAATGGTTCAGAAGACCCTATTTTGTCAAGAAACCTGTCAAGTAGTTCCTTCTACTTCTGCATTTCACCTTGAATTTGATGTTTTGTCCTCTGGGCACTGATGTTAACGAGTTCTGTATTGTACTTACTTACATGATAAATCTCTCTTCCCAGATCATTCAACTTCAAGTGGTACATCCTCGTTTAAGCCCAGCCGATCACTGGTTTCTATTCCCACTGCCCATGTGATGCCGTCTAATGCCAGCTCTTCACTTTCCAAACACAGGGAAGCTTTCAAGTCTGATGGCTCAAAATGGAGTACAAGCTTTGTACGGTCAGGAGGAGGCAGAAATCAGGGTGCTCTGGACAGCTCTCTTGACATGAAAGATGCAAGACCTGTAAGAAAATGGTCCTCCTTGTCTAAACTCAGCTCACCAAATACCTTCAGCCAAGACGGTAGTAGTCATTCAGTGGAGTCCAGGGCTAGTACAGACAAAGCTGTCTCACCACAATTAAGGACAAATGGGCCAAGTTGTTTGCATGATAGCATGGAGTTGCTAAAAATTGAGGACAAAGAAATGGGGAAAAAAATATCTTCTCTACTGGACTGCAAATACAAATTTGAAACGTGCAGCAAAGATGATTTTGTTTCGGATTCCTCAAGTAGGAGACATGCCTTAGACTTGACCTACAGTGCCTTACCTGAAAGTAAACCTATGGCAGCCAGTTGTGAAGCTTTTGGAGACAGATATGCAACGCTGGGACAGCAGGCTGTGAGTGGAGCTCCCATACAGCCAGCAGTGAGGACTCAAATGTGGCTTAAAGAACAGTTACGTGCAAATCCCCTGGACTGCAGGACTGCTGAGGAGCCCTACGGCGTAGCTGCGTGGCACGTACAGCAGCTTGAAGATTTTAGAACAGGAGGTGAACAGCCTGTGCAGGTAAGGCTAAAGCTTGGTGTTTGCTGCCATCATGTGGCATCACGTGTTATACCTGAGGAAATAACATCAGGCAGTTTTTAATAAAATAAGAAAGGGAACAAGTCCTCTTAACCAGGTGATGGTGTTTTTAAACTTTGGGGATGCTGCTTCTTGTTTCTCAATATTACCTGAGTGCCAACAGTTTTCTTCTGACATCTGCTTACTCTGATTCAGTGTGCCTGTCTACATGACGCTAGCATCTCTTTTTTTTTTAAGCTGGACACAGCAAGAGGTTCATCAAATAACACTTTCAGTAGCTCTTAAGAGAGTCTTTGGTCACAGTGTAGTGAGGGAGTGTGAATGTATTTTGGTCTGAATGGATTTACAAAGAGGCTGCATTTATGCGTTCACTGAAAGAGGAATGACTCCTGCATACTGCAAGGATGAATACTCAGTATCACTATGACTAGGACTTAAAAACTGAATCCAGTTTTATATACTGCTTGTTTTTAACTAATTAAAATCAACTAATAGTAGTCAACTAATCTGATTTATTTAAATAAATAATGTCATTTTTATGTGTCATACTTGAAGTATTTTCATATAGAAAATATTAAACATGGTTTTGAGAGAGAGAACCCTTTGTAACATGACAATTCACAATCTTTGTTTCCAGCTCTTACCCTAATGGGAAAAGATAGCTTCTGAAGGAAGGCAGTATTTAAAATCTAAATGTTCAGGTTTACCTATGTAGGTAAACTTGACTTGCCAAAAAAATCCCAAGCAGATTACAATATGTAGATTTTCCTGAAAGGCAGTTTAAGGGTAGACTAGCATATTATCTGAGCAGAGATAATCTAGCTGTATGTGCAAATACCTGTTTTCTCCAGCCTGAAGATACATTAAGTAATTTGCAGGGTTGCACTCAAATTCTGTTTCTTTCATTGTGTATTAAAGGAAAGACTGACAAGTTCAGAGGTTCTCAAGATCCAGTTTTGCTCTTAATAGTGATCTGGATTTTTTAAATTTTTTTTTAACCTTAAAAAACTTGAATCCAATTAATATGGCTGAACTATTATTAATCCTTAAGGGTCTCTCTCAAAGCCTGATGTTGTTCCAGGTAGCCACCCTTTTACATTACCCTTATTACTAGAGAAACTCTCATCTTTCTGGTAAGCTTTTGAAGATTTCAATGTTGAGACATTACCCAGGTAGAGAGTGGAGGCTGAGGGGTCCTCTCAGAGCCAAAGTGACGGAAACTGGCTCACTACTGGGGCTGGGTCGAGGGCACTGCCAGCCGGGTTCTTGGCAGCTGGCAGCTACTGGTGGTGTCGAGGGGCACACGAGGGGCTCGGGGAGTGAGAGTAGGGTACCGTGGAAGAGCTAAGTCTATCCATTTATTCAAGTTCTTTCCAAGCACCTGTGAGACACGTAGCTGGCTGCAGCTGTCAGCAGTGCTGTCTGTGAGGTTTGCATGCAGATTACTGTGCCTGGTGGTTCTCCTTTTGGATTTAAATATATATTCAGAGTAAGCTTTATTTACTTCTTCCTTCATTTAGCTGTATGTCTCTTCATCATTTTTTATGTACCTTTCGCAATACTTTGTTTAGGATGGGTGTTTCAGAAACTCTTATTTTTGTTTAGGTCAAAACAACTCCCAGCTTTTGTTTTTCATGTCTCGCAAGTGCTTTCTCACTCTGATTGTGATTAAATGCAGTGTCTCCTTTTTGTATGAAGGCAAAGTTTCATGTTTGAAACAGGTGAAGCCCTATATGTATTATTATGGTTATTCAAAAGCTTCCGTTCATGCAGGCATTGATGCCGAGTTGTGTTTTGAGGACAGACCCAACAGGGGGAGCACAAGCATTATTTATCTTTTTGGCTGAATTCATAAAATGGTGCTGCACCTTTTCAGGTTTCTGAGACTGTAAGATTGTAGGATGAAGTTTTGCCTAAAACTGTTTGAGTTTTTTCTTCTGTTTCTTTTTCTTGCTCCTGTTATTTTTATATCTCTATTGGTATTGATATACATGTTACAGGATCCAGCTAGCCCCTGGCTTAGGAAGCAATGATCATATCAGCTGTCTGGTCAGCCCTGGAAAATAGGGGAAGTCTTTGGAGCTGTGGCCTTTGCTCTGCTTACCCTGACTTCCCGCTTGATTGTGAGGGGGAGCCACAGGGAGTCTGACAGTAATTAAGGGCACAAGGGGTGCGGAGGAGGTTCCTGGTGGCCTTAGCAAGCACTTTCATTGGTGTGATTTGGAGTTGCATTGATGGGCCTTGAAATGTGATGTGTTACATTTCCTTAAGTGAGAAGATGTGGTTGTGAAATAGGAACCAGAGAAACAAAGTTAAAGTGTGTGCAAGAGCAATGAGCCTTTGGGCTCTTACAGGCATCCTCTGCTGGCCCTCCGTGCCTGCCCTGTCTTTCTGCCCAGATGTTACAGCTGTAAGGAGGAGGGATGCCAGAAGAGATGAAGAAAGGAGAGTGGTTCTTCCTGTCTTGACACGTGGTTTTATGGGTGTGTGTTTTTGTTTGTTTTTTTTTTTTAAAGAAACCTCAGCATAAGGACGGGGTAATCCTGGTTATACATACAAACTGGGGGACGAGAGGCTGGAGAGCAGCCCCGCGGAAAGAGATCTGGGTGTTTGGGTTGATGGCAAGTTCAATATGAGGCAGCAGTGTGCCCTGGCAGCGAAAAGGGCCAACCGTGTCCTGCAGTGCATCAAGCACAGCATAGCTAGCCTGTCAAGGGAGGTGATTGTCCTACTCTACACTGCAGATTTGGGCATCTCAGTATAAGAAAGACATCAAACTATTAGAGTGTATCCAGAGGAGGGTGACCAAGATGGCGAGAGATCTTGAGGGCAAGATTTATGAAGAGTGACTGAGGTCACTTGGTTTGTTCAGCTTGGAGAAGAGAAGGCTGAGGGGTGACCTCATCACAGTCTACAACTTCCTCATGGGGGGCAGCAAAGGGGGAGGTGCTGATCGCCTCTCTCTGATGACCAGCGATAGGACACGTGGAAATGGAATGAAGCTGTGTCAGAGAAGTCCAGATTGGACATGAGGAAAAGGTTCTTCACTGCGAGGGTGTTCGGTCACTGGAAAAGGCTCCCCAGGGAAGTGGTCACAGCACCAAGCCTGTCAGAGTTCAAGGAGCATCTGGACGATGCTCTTATTCGTATGGTTCAGTTTTAGGTAGCCCTGCGAGGGGCAGGGAGTTGGACTCGGTGATCCTTATGGGTCACTTCCAACTTGAGATATTCTATGATTCGATAATTGTGCTATGATTTTTTTTCAAAGATCACCGTATGTGTACCTGGGAACTGAGATGCTATTATTTCTGAGAAACTAAGAAAACGACAATCTGAAGTGGAATATATACCTAGGAAAGAGAGAGAGCAGAAAGCATAAGATTTTGCTAGAGGAAGCTGGTGATTTATAAAAGCAGGACACCACCCCCCCCACCCCCCCCCTTAATAGAAACTCTTTTATTTTTCTTTTCCTCTTAGTGGGGATTATTTTTGCTATTTTGCTTTTAATAAGTATGTATGCTGATGGAAATGCAGTGGTTTTTACAGGACTGAAAAAATGACAGTTTATCATCCTTTTACTTTAAAACCACCATTGCCATGAACAGAAAACATAATGAACTTTGCTTTTAACTGAGAATCTGGAGCAGCTTTGCGTATCTTTAAGGTAGGCTGGTAGAGGGAGAGACTATAGAGGGCAGCTATCACTAATGAAGCAAGAATAGACTGCAACAATTTTCTGAGTTGGTTTTGAGGACTGATGGTTCAGGAACAGCTATTGGACTTAATACAGTCTACAAATAAATTTTTATGCCTTTTGCAGACTAGTATAGACAGTTTACCTCGCAAAACTCTGAATTAGGGTTTATTTTTATAAAATCAGACAAGTTTTGAGTTTAAGTTTACTGTAAGGGATAATGTATTACAGCCCTTAAAAGCTGTTCCAAGGTTAATTACTCTCAAAATCAAGATTCTCTGCTTCCTTAATAGTCTGAATTTGACTGAACTCAGCATCTACCTGTTGTTTTTTTGTTACACTTTGCTCCCCAAATTAAAAGGTCTATAATGTGGCTTTTCCATTCCAATTGTAAACGATGATTTTTAAAATTATTTACTGTGCATTGTAAGGGAGGCTCAGAATGTTGGGTAGAAGACTACAGCTACGTTGAGATTCTCTTTCAGGACGTGGTCAGGTTTGCAACTGCAGAAAAGATGCTGTGGATCAACAGGATGCTTCTTCAGAGAAGGTGCATCGTTCAGCTGTGGGTGTGATGTTTGTACGTTTCTGAAGTAAATCTCCAAGGAGGATCTGGTCTATGGTTATTGTGTAACATCAGAGCTGTATATGAAAATTCTTTTCTTTAGCTAATGTGTACTAGTTAATGTATACTTTTTGAAGATAAACATTCTCCTACGCATTTCCAAGGAACAGATTTTAACAGTACTTCAATGAAAATAATTTCCATACAGAATTTATATTTCACCATACACTTAATTATTTTCAGTGTACAGCTGATCTTTCAGCAGATGTGACCATTGTAGTACCATTTTTTTTAACCTCCAAAGTAAGGAAGGGTGTGATTAGACCTGTGTTAAGGGGGAAAAAATGCTTATGATACGCAACAGCAGTTCCCATTTACTGAACTAGGAGGCCATACAAATCTGGATAAAAGGGCTGCATGTTTTAATGTAAAGGCATTTCTTAAAGCCTGATCCTATTATCTATCCTGTTATCTGAATGTACCTAGGTACATACTGTATGCTAGGCCAGAAATGAGGTTTAAAATGAAAGCGTGCCTTTAAAATTGTGGGAGATAATACAATAAGAAGGAAGGTTTCAGAAGGTTGCATATCTACTTATTAGCTCTGTACAATGTTGTAGGCACCACATGATGAATCTCTGTTTTTTCCAGTGTATGGGACATCTGTATGATTTCTTCATGGTGTGCTAACTTGTGTCAGAATATAGCAGAAATAATAGATAG